TCCCCCCCTCCCCCACCCCCAGCCACAGAGGGAAGCATCAGGTCCCCATGCAGCTCAGACAGGCAGGTTCTGGAGAGGGGGAAAAAAAAAGATCAGGCTCCTCACTGCTTTTTTTTTTCTTCAGGGGAGGCTGCCTGCCTGCCTGCATGGTCTGCTGCTGGGTCACACAGCCCTGCACTGCGCAGGGCCTAGTGCTTCCCTCCATGGCTGCAGCGCCCCCCAGGACTGCCAAGGCCAGGTGCCAGTGGGTAGGTGCTGCCTTGGGGGCCCTGCCACTACAGAGGAAAGCACTGAGGTCCCCCACAGCTCAGGGAGTTACACAACCTGGCAGCAGGCCCCTTCCCCCCGCCACAGGAGAGGCAGATAAACTCCAGCACCCCTGCACCGTCTCTGCTGCCTGCGACCGCCCAGAAACGGCTTTCCCCTAGGACAGAGCAGCAAGGCGGCAGGAAGATGTTAGGGTGTGTTAGCAGCAAAAGAAGGCAGCGGGAACAGCGCACAGGGCGCTGGAAGCCTACCCCAAGCATGTCAGCTTCCAGCACCCCATGCACTGTTGAACTTTGTTAGGTAGCAAACTAAAACAGATTCAAATTGCAAGCCTCAGAGGTGTTTTATCTTGCGACATAAAGTCATTTAAAGTTGAATACACTGCTGAACATGCAAACAGCAATGCCATTAAAGCGGTGTGAAAGGGCATTTAAGCCACTTTGAAGGCCAGTTTTGTGGTGTGTACAAAGGCCTTTCGTCTCAGAATAGTCTCTACTGCATCCAGTTCTGGGTGCTGCACTTCAACAAGGACATGGAAAAACTTGAGAGGGTCCAGAGAAGAGCCACGCATATGATCAGGGACTTGCAAGACAAGCCATACAAGGAAAGGCTGAGGGACTTGCGCCTCTTCAGCCTAGAGAAGAGAAGGCTGAGAGAACACTTGGCTTACCACTGCATCAGAGGAATACGTCAAGAAATCGGTGAACAGATGTTCACCAGGTCGTCCCTGGGGAAGACCAGGAGCAATGTATACAAATTCCTGGAAGGCTGCTTCAGGCTCAATTCCAGGAAAAACGTCACAGTCAGGGTGTCCAGACTCTGGAATAAACTCCCTCCAGTGGTGGTGCAGTCACCTACCCTGGAAATCTTCAAAAGGAGACTGGACAGTCACCTTGCTTGGGTCACTTAACCCCAGTTGTCTTTTCCTGCCTAGTGCAGAGGGACTGGACCTGATGATCTACAAGGTCCCTTCCAGCCCCTAACAGTCTCTGAATCTACCATATACTTGTTCTATAAGGAGTTCTAAAGTGTTCACAAGGGGGAGGATATGGACCTTTTGTTCAAGTGAAATAGGAGCAAAGCGGCACTTGGGAAAAGAATCAGTCCCTATTGGGAAGTGATATGGCTAATTTGCTGAAGCTAGTAGACTAAAGGGACAATACTTATGGGCCCCATGATGTGGTACAAGCAAGCTGAAATCATGTGAAAATGACATGTTAATAATTGGGACTTAATAGTTTTCTGTGATTGTTTCTCATCACAAAAGGCAATACAAATAGAACTTCTGGAGTGCCTTAAGAAGGCCAGAAAATTTGGTTTTCTCTGTACACATTGGAACTCTGCTGAAAAATTAAAAGCAGGAGTCCTTCAGCATTTTTTGACATTTAAAGCTGTGAATCATATTTGATGAACCAAACAACAATGCAAAATGTTCTTTCCCAAAGTTCAGAGAAGACTTCAGCAATTGCTTATTTAGAATTAGATATGTGATCAAGGCTCACTTAGTCTCCACAGAGTAGGCAGATATTTCTAAAAGTTATATCAACCTTTCTCCCTATGATCCTTACAGGCCTTGATGACTGTGATATCTATGTTATTCAAGCTACATGTTTAAAGCATTTGGTAATACATGACTACACCTAAACAATTAATGTGAAGGCGCTGAAGGATAACTGGCTCACATTTTTGTAGAAGAGAAACTGACTGGGTTCATCTACACATGCACTAAATGTGACTAAATTTACTCCAAGTAATTTGTGCCAGAGTAAACTAATCCAGAGCCAGAGTCTGAATGTACTCCCAATGACAGGAGTAAATTGAACCTAGGTGAGGCAGTTCAGGCCAAGGACACTCCTGGCCTCGCTCTGGTCCCCTGCTGGCTTGCAGTTTGCATCTGTGTCACTGTCAGCATCAGGGTTGGCAACCCCTGGCATGCGTGCTGAGCATGGCACATGAAGCCATTTTCTTCAGCATGTGTTGGGGCCAAGGCCAGGGCAGGGAGGCAGCAGCTGTTTACAGCCTCCCGACTGCAGCCGGCCCCGGATCTGGGTAGCTGCTGCCAGCTGGGAGCCCCAGCAGGTGGCTGGAAGGCTGCAAGCCCTCTTGTTAGCAGCCTGAGCACCAAGGCTGGCAGCAGCTACCCCAGAGCCGGGGCTGGCTGCAGCCGGGAGGCTGCAAAAGGCTGCTGCCTTCCCAGAGCCCAGGGCAGGAGACAGGCGGGCCTGGGGTGAGGAGGCAGCGGCTGTTTGCAGCCTCCTGGCTGCAGCTGACGGCGACCCGGGTTCTTGGTAGCTGCTGATAACTACAGAGCCTGGACTGACTGCAGCCAGGAGGCTGCAAACAGCTGCTGTCTCCCCACTCTGGCCCCAGCTGCCTCCTGGCCCCATGCTCGAGGGAGGCAGCAGGTGCCAGCAATGCTCCCTGCTGTGCTGCACACCTCGTCACTTCTGCCTGCCGCTCTGAGCTCTCCGCTGCCATGGCTACACTTCCCCTGCAGGTGGGGGCAATAGTAAGGGGCACAACCTAGGGGAGGGCAGCAGGGCTGGGAGCACAGCATGTGCGACAGAGTGGCAGCTTATGGAGGGGCCACACAGGGAA